GTGAGCTCCGGGTGCGTGCGCACCGGGCTCTCGGAGCGCGCCCGCGCGAGGTGCGCTGGCGAGGAGCCGCGCGCACGCGCGGCGGGCGGGGCCGGGGTGCCCCCTTTGGGGTCGGGGTCGGGGGGCATGTCCTTCTGCAGGAGGAATATTCTCAGCCACGCGCAGGGGGGGGTGGGGGGAGGGAGGAGGGCGGAGGGCTTCTTAGAAGCACCCCTGCTTCTTAGAAGGCGCGGGCCTTAGCTATAGATGTAAGGCCGGCGCCTTCTAAGAAGCAGCCTCCTTCTAAGAAGCCCTCCTCCCTCCCCCCACCCCCTTGTGCGCGCCGTCAATATTAAAAAACAGTCCAAAAATAGTCAGAGGACGATTTTTGACGATTCGTGACCATTTCTGGAGTTTTTGTTGGAGTATTTATTATCTTCCCAAGCCTCCTTGGTTGGATATTCGTGTTGAATAGAGCACAGCGGTCGCGTCTTCCTCCTCCCGCCTCCCGCCTCCCGCCTCCTGCCTCCCGCCTCCCGCCACCCCTCCTTCTTGTCTCCTCTTGCCTTGCCTGGAGGCTGCGATCTGGGAAACTGTCGCCACTTTCGAGGGCTGCAGGTGGGTCCAGCGGAGTGGGGCACCGCGCGGATCTGAGGTAGAACTCGCCGTCCCTGGGGGGCCGCGATCTGGGAAACTGTCGCCACTTTCGAAAGCTGCTGGTGGGTCCAGCGGAGTGAGGCACCGTGCGGATCTGAGGTAGACCTCGCGTCCTTGGGGGGCTGCGGACTGGGAAACTGTCGCCACTTTCGAAAGCTGCTGGTGGGTCCAGCGGAGTGGGGCACCGCGCGGATCTGAGGTAGAACTCGCCGTCCCTGGGGGGCTGCGATCCGGGAAACTGTCGCCACTTTCGAAAGCTGCTGGTGGGTCCAGCGGAGTGAGGCACCGTGAGGATCTGAGGTAGACCTCGCCGTCCTTGGGGGGCTGCGATCTGGGACACTGTCGCCACTTTCGAGGGCTGCTGGTGGGTCCAGCGGAGTGAGGCACCGCGCGGATCTGAGGTGGACCTCCCCTTTCCTGGGGGGGCTGCGATCCGGGAAACTGTCACCACTTTCGAGAGCTGCTGGTGTGTCCAGCGGAGTGATGCACTGCGCGGACCTGAGCGAGACCTCGCCGTCCCTGGGGGGCTGCGATCTGGGACACTGTCGCCACTTTCGAAAGCTGCTGGTGGGTCCAGCGGAGTGAGGTACCGTGGTATCTGAGGTAGACCTCGCCGTCCTTGGGGGGCTGCGGACTGGGAAACTGTTGCCACTTTCGAGGGCTGATGGTGGGTCCAGCGGAGTGAGGCACCGCGCAGATCTGAGCGAGACCTCGCCGTCCCTGGGGGGCTGCGATCTGGGACACTGTCGCCACTTTCGAGGGCTGCTGGTGGGTCCAGCGGAGTGAGGCACTGCGCGGATCTGAGGTAGACTTCGCCGTCCTTGGGGAGCTGCGATCTGTGACGCTGTCGCAACTTTCGAGGGCTGCTGGTATGTCCAGCGGGGTGAGGCACCGCGCGGATCTGAGGTAGACCTCCCCGTCCCTGGGGGGCTGCGATCTGCGAAGCTGTCACCATTTGGGTCCAGCGGGGTGAGGCACCGCGCGGATCTGAGGGGGCCCTCCCCGTCACTGCGGGGCTGCGATCTGGGAAACTGTTGCCACTTTCGAGGGCTGCTGGTGGGTCCAGCGGAGGAGGCACTGCGCGGAAATGAGGTAGACTTCGCCGTCCCTGGGGGGCTGCGATCTGGGAAACAGTCGCCACTTTCGAAAGCTGAGGGTGGGTCCAGCGGAGTGAGGCACCGCGCGGATCTGAGCGAGACCTCGCCGTCCTTCGGGGGCTGCGATCCGGGAAACTGTCGCCACTTTCGAGGGCTGTTGGTGGGTCCAGCGGAGTGATGCACTGCGCGGACCTGAGCGAGACCTCGCCGTCCCTACGGGGCTGCGATCTGGGACACTGTCGCCACTTTCGAGGGCTGCTGGTGGGTCCAGCGGAGTGAGGCACCGCACGGTTCTGAGCGAGACCTCCCCTTCCCTGGGGGGGCTGCGATCTGTGAAACTGTCGCCTCTTTCGAGGGCTGTTGTCGCCACTTTCGAGGGATGCTTGTGGGCTCGTCTCTTTCGAAGGTTGCTGGTATGTCCAGCGGGGTGAGGCACCGCGCGGACCTGAGCGGGACTTTGCCGTCCCTGGGCGGCCATGTCATGTATTTGCTGCCCCGCCGACGTTTCAAGCCCCTTGCACACAGTCTCGTTTTGGACCTTTTGTATTTCTCAGTGACTCAGGGGTCAACTTAGTTACCCATCGCTTTTTCCCTTGATTGGGGACCTGTGAAGCTTCCGAATGCCGCTCGCAGAAGTATATGCGTCCATGTCACGTCGCCGTCTCCTCGTCAAATCTCCCAAGCTACTTCTGCCCCGCATTGCGCAGGGGTTCGGTACGTCGCCAGGGTAAGTCGTCCAAAATCCGCCTGTAGGGGTAGATGCCCGACCGAAGGCAGGCGTTTTCGAGGTTCTCGGACAGTCCCGTCCGTCTTCGGCGATGTCCCAGCCTCGGGGTGCGTTGGAGCGGCTGGGGTTGCCGGATCGTCACGAGCGGCCGCCGGAGAGCCGAGTCGTGACCCGAAAGCGCAGGGGCAGCGCCGAGGGGGGATGGGCTCAGGGCGGAGCGCAGCGACCCCAATCGCCCATGGATCGCCGATGGGGGTCTGGTGCTCCTACCCCGCCCAGGGATGTGCGGATTCGCGATCGTGGGCTACAGTCAACGCGCCTAGTAAGGACGCGCGCCTTCCTCTAGGGTACCCTCGAGTCCTTGCCTCTGCGGCCCGTCCTTCGCCGTTTTCACTGGCCGCCCCCCGCCCCAAAAATCCAACTTCGGCCTCCAAGGGTCTTGCGTCCTTACCTCGCGTCCTTTCTATACGTTTTGACTGTATCGTCGATTCTATCGGTGATGTATGGCGGATTCCAGGTCGCTGTCCCCCCCCTGAGCCCGTCCCCCCCGATCGTTGCCCCTCGGGTTTTCCGGGAGGACCTAGCTGGCTGACCGGGCCAGGACGAAATAACATCTGTGGCAATCTGGAGTCGGACTTGCAAGGCTGCTCAAGGTGTGTGAATATTCATTCGGAACGTCCAGTTTTTAGAGAGAGAGAGAGAGAGAGAGATCCGCAGACGGCACCTATGCACCACCACCCTGCCTGGCCAGGTGCATCCTGGGCCCCAGTATTGTGCATACCCCCTCCTGGCATCGGCCAGGCGGGCGTATTCACCATGCCAGGGTCCAGACTGGCCCTGGCCAGTCACGGTTGTGGTGTATAGATGCCCTTTGCGTGAGAGAGGGAGAGAGAAAGAAAGAGAGACATATACATATATGTATATGTTTATGTATATGTGTGTGTATATATATATATATATATATATATATATATATATCCGTAAGGGCTTCGCCCCCTGCCGCCGGCCCCCTCTCTCGGAGAATGGGCCATGGAAGAGCTAAGTCATGAGGCCTTGGCGCTGTCGTGAAGCAGTATCGAAACTTCATGCGAAGCCGATTCGCAATCAGCAAAACCAACTGATCACAAGAGGGGTTACCACACCTGGCGATTGGTAAGACGTGTATGGTTTACGGGCTTGGTTACCACACCTTGCGATTAAAGGGCCGAGGGAGTTCTCGCAGTTTGGGTTACCACGCCTTGCGATGGATGTGCGTGAAGGGTGGCACCGAATTTCAGAAATGTGGCAAATCCCTGTGTTTTTGGACCCTGACCCCGCGGATCTGCGTGAGGGGTGGCGCCGAATTTCAGAAATGTGGCAAATCCCTGTGTTTTTGGACCCTGACCCCGCGGATCTGCGTGAGGGGTGGCACCGAATTTCAGAAATGTGGCAAATCCCCTGTGTTTTTGGACCCTGACCCCGCGGATCTGCGTGAGGGGTGGCACCGAATTTCAGAAATGTGGCAAATCCCATGTGTTTTTGGACCCTGACCCCGCGGATCTGCGTGAGGGGTGGCACCGAATTTCAGAAATGTGGCAAATCCCTTGTGTTTTTGGACCCTGACCCCGCGGATCTGCGTGAGGGGTGTCGATTTCGAGCCCCCCCAGCAATTCAGACAACGCGCCCAGGGGGTGCTAAAAATCTGGTTTGGGCCTCCCCCCCCTCGCGCGGTCAATCAACTAGTTACAGTAACCAGCAATAAGTCAACTAGTTACAGTAACCAGCAAGAAGCAGAACTGTAACACTGGAAACTACAAGCTACAACTGGTACAGGAAACTGCGAACCTCGCTCCTACAGCCTGGTGGCCCCACAAGGGGGCCGGCGGATATATATATATATATATATATATATATATCTATATATACATATATATAAAGAGAGAGAGAGAGAGAGAGAGAGAGAGAGAGAGAACAGAAAGAGAGGGATAGAGACGGTGCGGCTTTCTTGCTGTTGCATGGGACGGGACCACAGCACATCGTATGGCGAAATGCAGTGCGTGCATAATGGTGTTGTAGCCAAGGTATATCACATCTCTGCTGGGACCTGGTACAGTTCCACGAAGACATCCTCACTCGAAATCGTTGGATCAAGCTGAGGTGTGTTGGTTTCCATCGTGTGCTGTCGTGTACGCAGTATGCACGTACAGGTTGGGGGGCGAGTTCTGTACATGGGCGGGGCGTTCGGCCTTGAGATCTGTCCCCACTTAGGCATAATTGCAGGTGTGACGTTTGCTACGTTTGAAGCGAAGCCATATCTTCGTCTGACGGTCACGAAAAGTGTATCTACACCAGATCATTCTGGCGTGGGCGTCCACAGACGATTTCCAGGTCCACACGTGGACTACGTCAACGACCATGTGCATCTCCAGGTGTTCAGGGTCTTCCGTAGCAAGGCACTCCAGATGTATGTGTGTTTCCGCTCACCTCAAGTAACCATCACCTCCAACTACAATGACCAGTCATTAAACGCTGTAAGAGTCTTGGGAATCCAGGAGGATAGCTTGAGGATGCCTCCCCCCTGAATCGTTGAATCGACCAGCTTATGAATCTGAGCAAGCGTAGAGCTGGATTGTGCAATAATTTGTCAAAATCTGAAGAGGTTGAATCTGTTTCAGAGCTCCCGTAGGCACAAAGCACTAGTCTTTCAGACCAGTGTCCAGTCAATTGTTACCTGGTTCCGTCGCCCAGGTCAAAGGCTGCTCCCTTGTAGCCAGTTGTTGTTAAATAACGGGGCCAGTGTTCAGTCATTTGTTGCCTAATTGCGGGCCCTGATTTCAGTGAGGGTTTCATTTTACGAAAGGCGGCAGCTGTGGCCATGCTGGTCGAACGGGCTAGAGTCTCTCTGAACCTTTCCTGGACTCTCTCGTCTAGGTGTCCAGAATGCCCGAATGTTGTTACCGAGGCCACAGTATAGCGTAATGTCATCGCATGGTGGCGTAACACCTAGACGATGTGAAGTTGCTGGCCCAAACCATCAGGGCTCCATAGTTTTAAGCAAGCTGTCCTCAGCTTTTCGAGCAGCCCACGAGTGGGTTGTGACGGTCAAGGGCAAGCACTGGGCTGCTCGGAACGGGGGACCTCTCAGTGACACCACCCTGTGGATGGGAGAGGTCGGAAAGAGGCTGGACAAACCATCCAGTCACCCGCGATGTTGGTTCCAACCACAGGCTATACTGTGATTTGGATTGAGTTCTTTCCTGCAGTTGTAGTAGACACTCGTGAACTCATATGTACCCAGACATCCGACGTCTCGATTTTTTCGAGACACGGGCCTCCGATCTCCCGACCACTTCCCCGGGAGTCGTTTTTTGACGGTCCCGAGGCCCGGCGAGGGCCACGAGATGCCAAAAGCTGAGAAAACTTCCGTCTCGTTTTTTTCGAGACGCCCGATGTCTGGGCGAAAGATCATAGCAATGCCTTATAAGAGACTCACCCAGTTGCAAGGCAATCGAAGTATGCTTCAAGAGCTGGCCCGAGGTGGGGAGCTGGCCATGATGGACCCCAGTCTGGGGACGGGGTCCTCGAGCCGTTTTTGAATGCATTTTTTTCGAAGGGTGAGGCTGATATCGGGGAGGGTGGAGGGATGGAGGGACGAGGGGGTGGAGGGGTGGGGGGCACGCAGAGGAGGAGGAGGAGGGTTGATGACGGTGATGACGACGATGATGCCGTTGCTGACGTTGCTGTTGCTGGTGCTGCTGTTGATGATGGCTGTGATGTTGGCGACGAGGATGTTGACCATGATGGCGACGACGACGATGATGTTGATCATGATGATGCTGCTGCTGCTGCTGCTGCTGATGATGATGATGATGATGATGTCGATGATGATGCTGATAAGGACGATCATGCTGATGGCGATGGTGATGGTGATGATTATGCTGATGATGATGCTGATGATGATGGCGATTGTGCTGACTCATTGCAGTATTGGCACTGAGACGATGGCGATGCATAGGATATGATGCTGCTGACGGTGATGCTGATGCTGATGCTGATGTTGTTGATGATGAAGATGTTGATGCTGATGCTGATGTCGATGTTGGTGCTGATGACGATGATGATGATGATGCTGCTGATGATGGCGATGAGGATGATGAGAATGATGAGGATGATGAGGATGATGACGATGATGTGGATGGTGATGATGCTGCTGATGATGATGCTTATTATGGTGGTGATGGTGAGGGTGGTGGTGATGATGATGTTGATGATGCTGCTTATGATGATGCTGGCGGTGGTGTTGGTGATACATATGCTGCTGCCGAGGATGATGATTATGGTGATGCGGATGACGATGATCATGATGAAGAGGATGAGGATCATGATGCGGGTCATGATGCTGCTGCTGTTGATGACGATGACCACCAAGACGACAACGACGACAGTGAAGACGATGACAATGATGACGACGATGATAACGATGATGACGAAGACGACGATAAGGAGAAGGAGGAGGACGAGGAGGAGGAGGAGGAGGAGGAGGAGGAGGAGGAGGAGGAGTAGGAGTAGTAGCAGGAAAAGGAGTAGGAGTAGGAGTAGGAGGAGGAGGAGGAGGAGGAGGAGGACGAGGGGGAGGGAGGAGAGAGGAGAGAGGAGGGCGGATGAGCGAGGAGGACGACGAGGACAACGACGAGGGGAGGCGACCCCCCCCCCTTTCCTAGGAGGTGCCTCCGAGGGAGGGCGCCGCGTCCCGCGACGACGGCGCGAAGGACCCACCCCGCGGGGCCGCGGTCCGCCGCCCCGCTCGTCGTCGGTTGCGGCGGCGGCATCGTCGCCGTCGTCGTCGTCGTCGTCGTTGTCGTCGTCTTCGTCGTCGTCGTCGGCGCCGTCGTCGTCGTCGTCGTCGTCGTCGTCGTCGTCGTCGTTGTCGTCGTCGGCGGCGGTGGCGGCCGCGGCGGCGGCAGCGGCGTTTTCGTCGGCGGCGGCGGCGGCGTCGGTGTTGGCGTCGTCGTCGTCGTCGGCGGCCGTCGCCGTCGCCGTTGCCGTCGCCGTCGCCCTCATGTCGGGCGAAGTTGTGCGCTGTGCGTCTGGCAGTCTCGTTTCCCCCCCTGGTGGCATCTCGAGGGCTCCTGCCGTCCTCCCCGGCCCCCTCATACTCCTAGTCCTCGTCCTCCTCGTTGCCGTTCTCTCCGTTTTTGTCGCCGCGGTCCTCGGCGTAATTGTCGTGGTCTTCTTCCTCGTTGTCCTCGCATTGTCCTCTCGTTGTCCTCGTCATCATGATCGTAGTCACCTTCCTCCTCCTTCCTCGTTCTTCGCCTCGTCACTGGTCGTCCGCGTCATCTTCCTCCTCGGTTGTCCTGATCTGTCGTAATGTTTTCAATCGGGGGCGGCAAAGAGGGGTGTGATGACTAGGGGGGGTGGATATCATGGCGTGGGCCATGATATTTCCCAGATTTCATGGCGCCTCTTCTTAGCCGCCTCTTCATGACGTCCCCTGTCTCCCCCCGCTGGGCCGCGCACATGCCGCCAACCATGATTTGCACCCCCCCCTCTTGGACGCCCCCCTCTTGACCGCCCCCGATTCAAGGTGCCTGGATCTGAGAGTCCTGCTCCGAATCTTGGCCATGCCCCCAGCTCCCAGCTCCCAGCCTGCGAAGAAGAGCGTTCTAGAATTCACGACAGATCCGGAACGCTGCGCCCCACGCTTTCCTGAGCTTCCACCAGCTTTCGGCTATTCCCGACTTGTATCGTCCCGATGCCTTCTTTTATTTTAAGCCGGGCAGCTCTACAGGAGGAATCATCAGAGCAAGTAAAACAGACAGGAAACGGTTCTTGGACAACTCAAATATCTTCGCCCACCATCCGCCTGTAGGGGGACGTGCTCGACCTAAGCCTTCCTCTTTCCGCCTTCGTCCTGCTTCTCCCCGTGAGCGCGAGCGCAGCTGGTCAAGGCGTGAGGAGGAGGAGGAAGAGGAGGAGGAGGAGGAGGAGGAGGAGGAGGAGGAGGAGGAGGAGGATGCTCGCAGCCGTTCGGGCTCGGCCTGTCTTGCTGCGGCAGGCGGCGCTCTCCCCTCGGGGGAGAGGGGCGCCGCCGCGCGCAGCGCTCGCCGGAGGGGGCTCTCCGTCGGAGCCTGGGAGGGCAGGAGCATACACCAGGCGCACCCTGAGGGGGTGATGGGCCCTTCTCCTCCTGCTGCTCCTCCTCCTCCTCCTCTTCCTCCCTCCTCCTCCCTTTCCGCTCCTCCCCCCTCCTCTCCTCCTCCTCCTCCTCCTCCTCCTCCTCCTCCTCCTCCTCCTCCTCCTCCTCCTCCTCCTCCTCCTCGGGGGGGGATGCGTCGATCCCCAATCGTCTAGTGGTCGCCGAAAGGGGCCTGTTGGACCACCCCGTCCGCCCCGGAGCGTCCGGAGTCACCAGCGCGGGCCCATCGTCGATCCACTGGCGGTCCATCGCCGAGTGCAGGTCGACGTCTCTTCCGCCCACCCTCCTGAGCCCCTGGCATCGCTTGGACGTGTGCATTTTTTCTCGGCGAGAACCATCGAGGACCATCCTCGACCAACGAGCAAAAAAAAACACGCACGAAACCGAAAAATGCACAGGAAATGGACGTCCGAGCGACGGCAAGAGCCAGCCCCCCCCCCTGTCGTGCCCTCTCGGTGCTTCACGATCGCGTTTCGTCGACGCGGCGGCGAGCTCGTGCGCGTGCGTTGTGAAGGCCGAGCGCCGCCGGTGGCCTTAACTTCGGCGGACGTCGAGCGATCTGCGCGGTTGGAAAGCCGCGGTGGCTCAGGGTCGAACGATCTGCGCGGCGTCGGAAACCAACGCCGACGTCATCCCAGCGCAAACTCGCCACTCCCATCCGGATCGGGGGCGGCAAAGAGGGGGGTGATGACTAGGGGGGGTGGGTATCATGGCGTGGGCCATGATAGCTCCCCAGATTTTCTGGCGCCTCTCCTTGCTTCATTACGCCCCTGTCCCCCCCGCTGGGCCGCGCACATACCGCATACCGCTGGCCATGATTTGCACACCCCCCTCTTGGACGCCCCCCTCTTAGCCGCTCCCGAATCCGCAGACAGCGTTCGAGCAATCCGTAGACTTCCCCGCCTCGTGGCAGCGTGCTGGAGCGGGGAGGCTCTTCTCCCAAAATTCTCGGCCCTGGGCTGCTTCGGCCCTGCCCCGCGACTCGGGCGACAGGATCCCGCTCTCTGGGGGAGGGCGGAGAGGAGAGGGCTCGCCCTGGAGGAGTCCTGGAGGTGGTCCCCTCTACGGGGCCACATGCGAACCCTACCCCTACCCACCACGATGTGTGAGGGGGAGGGTTCGCATGTGGCCCCTCACTGGAGGAGTCCTGGAGGTGGTCCCCTCGGCGGACGCGGGCGGAAGGCCCGTCGGAGCCGGGTCGGGGGCGCGGGGTGGGGCCAAGCCATCGGGGGGGGGCCTCGAGACGGGGGGGGGTCAGTGCAAGCGGGGGTCAGCCAGAGCGCCAGGTCTTGCAGGATCCTGCAGAGCCAGGGGTGCACTGACCCAGGTCAAACTTCGCAAGATCCTGCGGGATCCTGCGGGATGTTGCAAGATCCGGCAGAGCCTGACTGACCGAGGTCTTCATTGACCTGGTTCAGTAGAAGTCCGAACGACATATTTGAAATCTTTGCCCTGATCAGGGGTGGCCGCAGGGGGTTGCCGGGAGCTATAGGATTGGCCAGGATGGGACAGAGGGTTGGCCCACATAATTCGTCGATCGGTAGTTCTTTCCATACGATCTCGTATTCTCATGGACGGCGTTTGACGCAGCTGATCCGGTTTCTCCTCCTCTCGCTATGCCCTACCAGGTTCAGGAGATTGCCGGGCTGCATTGGAGATGCCCAACCTCACACGTCCCTCCTCTTCCACCCATCACCTAGGGAGGCTCGAAAGTTGCTCTAAGTAGAAGCCCGACGATCTAAGGAGGCGTACCCCCGTCGTCCTCCTCAGCCTCCTCCTCCTCCTCCTCCTCCTCCTTCCCTCCTCCCTCCTCCTCCAGTATCTAGTTTTTCTGCATGGAATTCGCGTTGATGGTTGCCGCGGGCACCAGAGTAACAAAAAAAAACAGAGGAACAACTGAAAGCTGATAGGCACCACGCATATTACAACACAAAAAAACAAGAAAACAAAATGAGGTCAATAATCACCGAACAGTCTACTACTTTTTTTTTACACCTAAAATCCGTGGGCTTGCTTCCGGCGTCGACCGAGGTACCAGTTTTTTGAAGTTTTTTAGTTGTCAATGTCAGGGGATATTTGTCTTCAGGATATTTCGGTTTCTGTTTGTTTTGGTTGTTACCAGGAAATACTCACCGTCGGCCGAAACAAGAACGAATTTTTGGTTTACTTCGGCACCAAATTGGTGCCGAAGTAAACCAAATTGGTGCGTGTGGATTGGTGCCGCACCAATCCACACGCCCGATCACGGGCGGTTGTTTTGTTGATGGCGCGTCCCCCCGCAGCCGTGCGGCTGCGCCCTGCATGCATGGCCGTGCCCCTGCAGTGCCTACTCGGTTCGCTCAAGTGCTTCCTGGTGAAGGGATGCATCCGAATTAACGTTCACCAGGAAGCGCTTGAGATTGGGGCGGGCGATGGTGGCAGCGACGGCCTGGTGATCGTGGAGAGCGCGCTCCGTTCGCTCCCTGGTGTGATCGGATCGGTCGCGCCGTCCCTGAAGCGCCAGCTGTCCGCCGCCGTCGCCGACAGCGCGGACCTGATATCCAGATGCAGGCGCGCGGGGGGGCGATTGGGAGGAAGGGGGGGGAGGGGAGTTGCGGATGCACTTTTAGACCCGAAGGCTAGGGGCCACAAACAGTGCAATGTCAAGAACATCTCGCGGGGAGAACGCCTCTAGCCTCGCGCTTCAAAGCCGCGTACAGCCGAGCGTCTTATCATTTTATCCTTTCCTCTTCTCCTATCTTATCCTCACCTCCCCTCTTCTTATCCTCTCCTCTTTTCCTCTCTTAATCCTCCTCTTCCACCTCTTCTTATCCTCTTCTCCCCTTCTCCTCCTCTCCTAGGGCGGACTCCCTTTTAGACCCACAGGCTAGGGGCCAAACAGTGCAGAACAGCAGCAAAGTCTAGGTACTACATAGGACTTTAGCTGGCGCCCTCGGCCATTGGGCCAAGGGCGCGAAGCGCGCGCGGGGGTAGTTCGCACAGAGAGAGAGAGAAGAGAGAGAAAGAGAGAGAGAGAGAGAGAGAGAGAGAAAAAGAGAGAGAGGATCATAATTCGACAGAGTAGGGGACGAGGAGGAGGCGGAGGAGGATGAGGAGGGAACGATGAGGATGAGGAGGAGGAGCAGGGATGAGGAGAAGGGGGGGAGGATACGGAGGAGGAGGAGGAGGAGGATAGCGCTCTCTGGAGGTGCGAGAATGGCATGGTGGACGTGGACGTCATGTACGTCCTCCTCAAGAGCGGCGGCGTGGCCATCTCGCCTGAGGTCTGGCGCTGGCTGAGGCGCGGAGCCTCCCGGGGAGAGGATGGGGGGAGACTCTCCCCCTACTCTCCCCTCTCCTCATCCTCCTCCTCCTCTTCCTCCTCCTCTCTGTCTCTCTGTCTCTCTGTCTCCTCTCTCT